TCCAGCTTGACATCGTTGCTCTTCAGTACTCTTGAGAAGTCCCTCACAGCCGACTTTCCCAATGCAATTTGTCTCCTGATTTCCTGGCTGCTGTTACCAAGAGTGTTGACTGTGGAGCCAAGTAAATTAAAACTGTTAATTATCTCAATCTCAATCCATGCTGATGCTGCCAATTGGCCCAGTGGTTAGAATTTTTGTTTTCTTGACATTTAGCTTCAGTCCATATAGGAGGCTGTAGTCCTTGATCTTCTGCAGCAAGTGCCTCAGGTCCTCCTCAGTTTCAGCAAGCAGGGTTGTGTCATCTGCATAATGCAGGTTGTTGATGATTCTTCCACCAATCCTGATGCCACATTGCTCTTCATATAGCCCAGCGTCTCGGATGATCTGTTCTGCATACAGATTGAAAAGGTATGGAGACAGAATACATCCCTGAAGAACCCCCTTCCTGATTTGAACCATGTTGTGTCTCCTTGCTCTGTTCTGACAACTGCCTCTTGGTCCAAGTATAAGTTTCACATTAGCACAATCAAATGTTCTGGGATTCCCATTCTTCTTAGAGTCAGCCACAGCTTATTGTGATCCACACAGTCAAAAGCCTTTGCATAGTCAATGAAGCACAGATAGACATTCTTCTGGTATTCTTTGCTTTCTGCTAAGATCCATCTGACATTAGCTATAATATCCCTAGTACCACAGCCTCTTCTAAATCCAACCTGCACATCTGGCAGTTCTCTGTTGACATATTGTTCTAAACATTTTTGGATAATTTTCAGCAGAATCTTGCTTGCATGTGATATCAATGATATTGTTTGATAATTTTCCACCCTCTGTTGGGTCACCTTTCTTTGGAATGGGAACAAATATCGATCTTTTCCAGTCAATGGGCCAGCTGGCTGTTCTCCAAATTTCTTGGCACAACTTAGCACATCCAGGCCAGCGTCTGTTTGTTGAAATATGTCAATTGGTATGCCGTCAACTCCTGGAGCCTTGTTTCTTGCCATTCCTTCAGAGCAATTTGAACTTCCTCCTTCATCACCATAGGCTCTTGCTCATATGTCATTTCATGAAATTCTTCTGTGTCAGCCAATTCCTTCTGATACAGTGACTCTGTGTATTCCTTCCATCTTGTCTTGATACTTTCTGGATCATTTAATATACTGCCCAAAGTATCCTTAAGTATTGCCACCCATGGTTTGAATTTGTTTTTCAGCTCCTCAGCTTAAGAAACGCTGAGCGAGTTCGTCCCTTTTGATTTTCTGACTCCAGGTCTCTGCACATTTCATTATAGTTTCTTGTTTTATCGTCCCAGGCTGCCTTTTGAAATTTTCTGTTTAGCTCTTTGATTTCTTGGTTTCTTCCTTTAGCTTTGGCTTAGGTTGCTAATCTACTAAGGAGCTCTGGTGGCCTGGTGTAAGAAGTTGTGCTGCATATCTGAAGGTATGTGGTTCGTGTCCACCAGCTGCTCTGCAGGAGAGGGACGGGCGATCTCCTCCAGTGCGATTGACTGCCTCAGAAAACCTGCTGGAGGGCCAGCTATGGGTCGGTTCAGGCTCAACAGTACACAACAACAAACAAACGACAATCTGCTTTCCATGCCTTTGGTTTGTGAAAGAGTGACCCCAGCATCACGGTGACATTCAATACTGTATCTACACAACACCGGCTTCCCATCCTTCCTGGCCTCTCATTGCCTTGAGCTAAAACATAATAAAAACAAGCACGTCATGTATGCTCCGCAAAACACCACTGAGGTTTATCTCTTTTTTTTTTTTAATACAATAAATTTTCTATTAAATTTTATTAGTTTTAATGAACATTTACAGAGATTTTGGGTTTTCATTCATTCATTGTTGCACTGTTTTTGAGGTTTATCTCTAATGTGTCTGCCATGGAACTAACCAGGACCCTAGTGTACATGAAGCCAAGCGGCCTCCCAGTGGACAGTCCTGCCCTCGGAAAGAAAGGCGAGGAGCTACTCGCAATGGTCTGTCGGCCGCATTCCCTCTTAAGGCAGCTCTGCATTGAAGCAACAATTTAACGTTTGTGAGTTCCAAAATTTGACTGACAAAGCCGAGTGCTCCGTGCCCCCATTATGATCCAGCCTGTTCTAATATTAGCTATCGCGGAGCAGCCCAGGTTCACCTGGAAAAGAGAAGCTTTTCTTTCGAGTTGAACAAGAGCAGATACTAAAAATGCACACAGCGAGCCTTCCCTCAGGCATACATGACACACATAAAGTAGGGACCCTGAGCCCTGTGACTGTTTAGAAGTGTGTAGAAGAGGAATTCGCCGTCATTGGAAATGTGATGTGCTTACATTACAAAATGTTTATGTGGTCTTTTCACTCAGCCTTCGAGGAGCTGAGAAACAAAATTAAATTAGAGAAAGTTGGTGTGGTTCACAAGGTCACACAAGATTATGACGTGCGTGGAAATCCTGTAGAGCAGGAAAAAGAGTGTTCCAGAGCCTCTGTCATGTCCCAGCATGAGGTATACGTTGGTGACCCTCATGTGTCACAGTAGAACTTCTGTCTGATCTCAGCAGCTGATTGCTTTGGAAGGATATTGTCAAGTTGTTCTTATAATGTCTCTCTGGGTGACCTTACCCTTTTTCAGTTAGTAAACAAGTATATTAACTATATAACTCAGGAACTCCATGAGACATAAACTTGACCTTTTATTGGTGTTATGTCTGCACAAGTAAGCTCTGGAATGACCTGTTTGTGTTCATTAGAGCAACTGTGTCAAGTACTGGAGCTTCTCTTTTCCGGCAGAGCTTAAACGGAGGAGTGGAGCTGGGCAGTTGCCACATTTCCACTTAGCATAACGTGTAAAGCACGGACATCAGAGCAAAATGCACATGTACTGTTTGTAAATCATAAAATTGTGTAGAAACGGCAGGACTCTCAAAGCCCCCTCGTGGCTTAGTTATAAGGGGTTGTGCTACCTACTCTAAAAGGTACACAGAATTCTCCAGCTGCTGCCTAGGAGAAAGAAGAAAGATCGGCAGTCTCTTTTCACGTGATCTATTGACTCTGTCAACCCACTGCAGAGTCAGCTGTGAGTCGGTTCAGACTCAAGAGTACATAACAACAACAACAGTACCTCCCACTGTCTTTACCTGCAAACTGAGTGGCCACCAGCATGTGCTGAAAGGACTTTTAGACAGTAGACATCTCATAAACAGATTTCTATTTCCACAAAGTAAAGCAACACATTTATGTGCCAAGACAGCTTTCCACACACAGAAAACAATTCTAACTTTAAAAATGGTCACCTGGATTTGAAAAATCTTCCTATTTAGAGACAGATCAAGGACATCACCTCTATATCATTATTTGTCATTAAATTTTTTTGTATATTGCAAAATCTTCTAAAGCATCTGTTCCAGAAAGCCTAGGTTAGGAGTTTAAGTGGTAAAAAATGGGCCACATTTAGTACTTGTTATGTAGTTGTTCGCTTTTGCTGACAATTCTCAGACTCCTCAAGTTTGGTCCTATAAACCTGTAGCTGAGTGTCCATTGTGAGATTAGCTGTCATGGAAAAAATACGACCTCGCAACTTTGGGTGTGGAGTTGTTGCGCAGTAAGTCCTCAGTAATATAGCCCCACCTTACCTGAGTTAGCTAGAAAATCTCTGAACTCAAAAGTCTGTTTCATTTCTGTGTCAGAAATGGTTTTGTTCCCTATTGTCGAGAATAATTAGAAGATACAAAACGTGCATGAAGACTCTTGCTTCCAGCTGATCCCCCACGACACCCACATGAGTTATGTATGTATAGCTTGTCCTGAGACACACACCCTCATATGCTCATAAACATCTCTGAGCGAGCTAGCCACTATGCCACTATGTCCCGTGTCGGTTTTTCTGTCACGTGTTGGTTTTTCTGTGTTCTTCCTGGATTGTAGAAGACCTTCAACAAGATGGATTGACACAGTGACTGTAACAATGAGCTTGACCATGAGGATGGTGCAGAGTAGGCCCAGGCTCAGATCTGTTGTTGGTAGGGTCATTGTGAGCTGCAGTCAACTTGATGGACCCTGGGAACAACATCCACCCTGTCATGTGAACTCCAGGGCAGAGAACAGGGTCCTCGTCACCTTGAACCTTATCTGAAAGATGGTGGCTTCTCTATTACCAGGTCGTGAATGTTGAATGTTTCTATCTAGAAAATCAATTCGCTCATATCTATATTTTTTTTACTTTATTCTTAACCTTTCTCTATCTCCTTATGATATAGTTTTGTCTCTAGATCCTTGTATTTTTAAATCAGTAGACTTTCAGATTAAAAGGAAAGTTCTAGTTGCATCTGCTGTGGCTTTCCAGGATGCTACTGATGGAATAGTTTTCATAAAAGAAGACCAAATGGTTTTCTCCCACCTACAACTTCAAAATACTTTTCACAAACACCTTTATGCAATAGTTTTCTGTCAGTTGGACATAATTCATTAATTCAGGAAAGTTTAGCACTGCGTCTGCAAGGGATCAAATAACGTTAGAAAGCAGCAAAAATTATTATGCCTTGCATCTGTTTACTGTGCAACCTTCAGCACACATTATTCCGTTGTGTTCTCACAGTGGGGATCCTGGGGGTGTATCCGTAAGGATTCGCACAGCTAACCCAAAGGCCAGTGCAAAGTTCTGAGGCAGAAAGATAGACAATCTTCTCTTGTGCCATTTAAGCCTCAAAAACCCAACTCTAAGTTGGTCTTGACTTGATGTCATGAAAAAGAAAAAAATTCAACAACAACGATGTTACTGAAAGGCTTAGACGTCAATATCCCATCAACTCAATGGCCATGGGTTTTAGTTTTGTTATTTAATGTCAGTACAATGATCAAAGAACTGTTCTTTGCAAGATGATAAACTAGCTTCTATGGCTCAGCCTCCAATTCTGGTCAAAATTAATATCATCAAATTGGTATATTAATCTTATTGGCTAAATGTATAGTGTTTCTCCTGAGGAAAAGATGACTATGTGTTGTTTTCTTTTTATTGTAGGAATCTTGGAAAATCAGGACTCAGAGTGTCTTGCTTGGGTCTTGGTAAGTACTGGGGTACCATGGCAGGGTGTGAACTGGGAAGTGGGAGGTTAGAGAGAAACCTTGTCTTGTGCACAATCTAAAGGGATGGCAGTGAGGGAACAAAACAAAATGACAACAAATTCTCACTTTGCTACATTTTAAGACATGGCAGACTTTTGATGGCTGAATATTCCTGCCTTTAACTAATGGTATGGGTGAAGGTCATCTTTGCTTGGCATAAATACAAGATGATTTGACATTTGCTTTACCTACACCTCTGATTATGTTACTATTTCCTTTCATTTGAAAGACTGTGAAGATTCACAGTCAGAAATAGTCTGACTTTAGTTATTTATAATGTGTTATATGTGCTACTAGTGAATAGAGAAAATCAAAATTATAGTCTTCAATATGTATTTCAATATTATATTTCACATCAAGAAGACAAAATTCTCACAACTGCACCAATAGGCAATGTCATGATAATGGATAAAATATTGAAGATGCTAGGGGCTTAATTTACTTAAAACCACAATCAACATCCCTTGTACCAGCAGTCAGGAGATTAGGAGATATGTTACATTGGGAAAATCTTCAGTCAGGAACCTCTCCAAATTATTGAGGAGCATTGATGTCAGTATAGGGACTAAGATGTGCCTGATTTAGGCTACGTTTATTTCGATCACTTGCTGTACATCTGAGAGTTGGAGAATAAGAATGACAGAAGGAGAACGGATGCCTTTGAGCTATGGTGTCAGACAAGAGTACTGAATAGACTGTCAAAAGAACAAACAGGTATGTCTTGGAGAAGGTGCAGCCAGAGTGCTCCTTGGTGGCAAAGATAATAAAGCTTCATCTCACATAATTTGGGCATGTTGCTAGGAGAGACTAGTCCTTGGAGAGGGAGGATTGGGAAGAGGAAGGTCCTCAACCTGGTAGGCACAGTGACTGCAGCAACGGGTTCTGTATGCCAGAGATAGTGAGAGGGCGCAGGATAGGACAGGGATCAGATCTGTTGTTGATAGCATAACTATGGGTCATACACAACTCGACGGCACCTAACAACAACAATTCACTACCAAATTGTCATTGATTTCTTTCTACTTGGGTGTACAATCCACTTTCTTGGTAAAAATAGCCAAGAAATAAAAAAATATGTTGCACTGGGGAAACCTACTGTTAAGGGACCTCTCCAAAATGCTTAAGAACAAAGATCAGTTTAAACACTGAGATGTACCTTCTCTAAGTCATCGTCTTCTTAATTGCTCCCTAAGCATCCGAATGTTGGACCATAAAGAAGTCTGACAGTAGAGGAATTGATACTTTTGAATTTTGGCACTGGAGATAGGACTGAGTATCCCAGGGACTGTAAAGAAATAGCGAGTCTATTTTGCGAGAAATGTAACCAAGGTGCTCCTGACAGACAAGGATGGGGACAGTTAGTGTCTCATAGTTTGGACGTGTTAGGAAGGGCTATTCCTTGGGGAAAAGCCATCATGCTGGAGAAGGTGGAGGGTCAGAGAAAGAGAAGAAGCTTCTCAGCGAGATGGACAGGCACCATGACTGGGGCAATGGCAGAGGTCATGGAGAGAGACAGGGAAAGGTTAAGATCCGTGGCTCATCGGGTCAGCGTGAGTTAGTCAGCTCGATGGGATCTAATGCAACAGCAGTAGTATCAACAGAAATTTCCTATACTTATAAATGAAGAGTTAAGTAAAAATCTCATCTGTCAATTATTTCAGAGTCATTATTTGTGTTGGAAAATAATGGGAAGGAAGGAAGGAAAGAAGGAAGGAAGGAAGGAAGGGAGGGATAGAGGGAGGGAGGGAAAGACAGAAAGAAAGAAGAAACCGTTGGAGTCAGTGCGTACAGAGAAAATACTTTTAAGACTGTCACAGGGTCCCATGAAATGTTACATGTAAATGAGTCTCCCAAGGACAGATTGAGGTTTGTTAAGAACCCGATGTGGGTGAGCTGTAGGCATTTTCGCCAACTTTGAAGCAGGTTTGGGTTAGGAGCACCAAGCCCTGATTTGAGCTTCAAATTTTCTCAGAGCCTGAACACTTGTGATAAGACACTGCGTGGAAAATGGAAGAAAATAAGGACTTTCATGGAACTGTCTGGCTTCCTTCAAAATAAGTAACAAGGGTTGACAGCATGAATACATGTTCGTCAAGAACTTTTCTCTTAACTTGCCTCAGAAAGGCAATAGAGGGGAAAAAAACCCAAAAATAACAAACCCACAAAGGCATAGAAAGCAATAACACCAGCCCCGGATAAGGTGTCAGCCTCTGCAGACACCTGCTTCTGTAGACTAGAGCCAGGCTCTGCAGACTTCATGCCCAGCCAGGTTCGCTGCTACAGACTTGAGGTGTCAGTGGAACCACAGCCCATACTCAACAGAGGCTTTGCAAGTTAAGTATTAATACTTTCAGGCAATCAACAGACACAGATGTCTTTTATTGGAATATTCTAAAGGTCTTGGTTAAAGCTCACAATTCTCACTTCCATCTCTACCGGAGCAGGACAGATTGGGGATTTCCTGACCTGCCCAGCTTCCTTTTGATAAGCTAAGAGCTTATGGAAATGGGAGCAGAAAGGGGAAAGAATTCTAGGATGAACTTAAGAGACATCTGAATGAACACAGCTATACCAACAAGATGAATGGGAAAGCAACGCCAAGTAGACAAGCCTTACCATGGGGTCCCTCTGTTCACACAGGACACTTGAGACGTGCAGTCGGAGTTCTGCTGAGCTCATGAGAGGGTGACCTAAAACCGTCTCCGTCTGACAGGAGATGGGACTATTTTATGAGAGAGGGAGGGTAAAACTGATAAATTCATTGATTCATTTGTTCCTGCCTTCCTGAGCAAATAGAGGAGTCCAGGTCTCTGCTGGACACAGGGGATGCCACTGGGAAAGTAGGAGGCCCTCAAATGCTCACAGAGAAGTAAGAGTGTGGCACATGCAAACAAAACAACACTGAATTCACAGAGAGCATACCAAAGCCCCCTGGAGGACCAGGAAAGCCCCCAGAGAAGACGTTCTTCGACTTTAGCTCTGAAGGAAAATGACCACAGGTTAGAGAATTCACAAAAGAGGGAGCTACACAAGCTCCCTGAAAGGAGATTCTTGTGGAGTTGTTGTTAGGTGCTGTTGAGTCAAGTACAACTCACAGCGACCCTATGAACAACAGAACTGAAACTTGTACTATCCCCAATTATCTCTGGCATTCTCGAGCCCATTGCTGCAGTCACTGTGTCAAACCATCTCGTTGGGGGTCTGCCTCACTTTCACTTTTCCACTCTTGACATCCCATTCCAAGGAATAGCTTCTCCTAGCAACATTCCCAAAGAGACAAGGCTTTACCATCTTTGTCTCTAAGGAGCACTGTGGCTACACTCTTTCTAAGACATATGTTTGGTCTTTTGGCAGTCTGTACGATACTCAGTACTCTTCGCCAACACCACAGCTCAAGGGTATCAATTTTTCTATCATTCACTGTTCAGCTCTCAGATGTGTAACAAGTGATTGAAAATGCCTGAATCAGGCACACCATAGTCTTCAAATGGACATCATTGCTCTTCAGTACTTTGAAAACTTTCCTGATAGGGGTCTTGCCCAGTGTAATACGTCTCCTGATCTCCTGACTGCTGGTACCAAGGATGTTGGCTGTGGATCCAAGTAAGAGTAAATAGTTGACAATTTCATTCTTTTTTCTACAATGATGGTATATGTTGGCCCAGTGGGAGGACCTTATGGAGTAAGATGTATTAGATCTAAAATTTCATTTTATATCATAAAATAGTGTGAATGTAAGGTGTTAGGGAATAACAAGGACTGAACCTGGGAAAAAAATCAGGACTAATATTGAGAGGTCTCTTTCGCCTAGCTAAAGCACTCAGCTCACCGCCCCTAGGTCTGTGGTGGGCCTCCAAGTCCCAAGGTCCCAAAGCCTCAGGAAATATTTGGCTCAGGGTGCCACCTGTCTCCCTCCCTTCCTTCCACCTGCCACAACGTCTGTCAAAGCCACTCTGCTTTTTCTCCATATTGCAGTTTGAAGAACTATATGTGCTATATAAAAAACATACATAACCTATATAAAAACTATATCTAAAACAAAAAGTAAAACTCTGCTCTGGGTTGTATTGAATCATGGAGTTACTTTAAGCAGGAGTATGACATGACCAAATGCACTAGAATTCTTGTTCTGACAGAGGTATACAGAATAAATTGGAGGAGGAAGGGTTGATACTGGGAGCAGAAGATTGGGCATTGGATCAACTGTGTAGAGGAGGAGTAATCAGAACTTGTGACTTTTTTCTGCAAAATAAGGGTGCTCCCTCAGGGGAAGGACACAGAGTCCTGGACGGGATCTGTGGAGGATGGGATAAGATCCCACAGAGAGGAACTGCCAGGAGCAGCAAAACGGAATCTTCCCAAAGAAGGACTTCTGCCTGCAGACTGCAGCACAGAATTCTGCTGAGACTCCAGACCCTCTGCCTACCCTGCAGATTTTGCACTTGCCGGCCTCCACAGTCATCTGAGCCAACTCCTTCAAGATGAGCTTTGACAAGTGGGTCATGGTGAGGATCCGGCTAAAGCCAGTGAATTAGTGAAGGCCCAGCCCAGTTGTTTGACTTTCTGGAGCAGCAGAATTTGAGGAGGGCATATGAAGGTGGAGGTGGGCAGGGGAGATGAAGAACAGCTCGGCTTCTTTAGGGGCTTTGCCCTCAGAGAGTCAGGGACCAGGAAGTCTATGCAGTCATAGTGACAAGAACTCAGGTTGCGCTTAGATGTGCTAGAAGGTGCTGCATCCTGCACTTAGAAGAGAGAACCTGCCCACATGCTTAATGCATTCAAAACTCATCAAGTCTACTCTAACTCACAGCAAGCCTCCATCATCTGTCCCAGGCTGTAAATCGTGGAAGATGAGGCTGGAGAGTGCCTTTTTCCCCCTGAGTGCCTCTGGTGAATGTGAGCTATCACACATGGGCCCAGTGGGTAAGAGGTTGTAACAT